TAGGAAGAAAATTAACTCTATCCCAGCCGAAACCAGGAAAGGTAGAAGTACAGCCCTCTGGGCAGGGAAGAGAAACCTAAGAGAAACCTACATACAGAGAAAGTAACTGAAGTAGTTTAGTAAACAGACTGTTTGTTTAAACAAGACTTTATTGAAGACATTTTAGAAGTTTATGTACAAAACAACATTCCCACCCCCGTATCAGGATGTTAGTCACCCGCTGGGAACAAAACAAGTGCCTGGTGTGCGCCATCAACCTGGGGACACTCAAGGGGTTGCTGAGGAATTTACAGAACTACCAAATTCACGTGGTTTAGAGTTGGACAATTTCAGCCTTGGCTCAGTTAGGACTGAAGGAAACTGAAGGACCTTTTCCAGAGGCGTCTCCCGCAGACTGAACATACAGCAGCCTGACAGCCTACACTGGCTTTACTCTGAGGTCAGGTCATTTACTTCTGCAGAGAGCGAGAGGCCCACTTTGGTTTTGGAAGTGAAGAGGAACCAGCCCCGGAATTTAACCTGCAGTTTTTAATCTATTTGAGATGGTTCCAGGAGATACCCATCACTAAGAGCACAGTAGTAGTTGCAGGAAGCATTAGAACAGAGCAGTAGCATACCAAGGAAAAGCGTCAGCCGCCTCGCTTTCCAAATACACCTAGAGACAGGCTGGATATCAGACTGGCTGTTTCAGCTAGCCTGTAAGAAAACCTAGAGACATGGACATTAGTGGCACAAGTTAAATAGTGACTGACAGGCTGTTTCTGTAGCATACTGTGCACTTCTACCACGGGAGAGTTTCCCCTTGCCAGTCCAGGAAGGAACCGTTTTCTTTTTCACCAAGACGGTCCAGAACGGAGAGAATACCTGGGATAGCCTCTTGCACCTGCATGGGAGCCTAGAGCAAATCAAGCTCAGATTATTACTGGGAATGTCCTACAGAAGAGAATCAAATGCATTTAAGGAGTTACTAGAATCAAGTGGGATGTATTTTCACATTTCACAGTGTGCCTCTGCAGCACCTGGAAGTGTGTACTGTACAGTGGGTTCTTGTTCAATGGTTGGGACAACAATACTTTCACATTTTCAGAGAGATGTCACTTACCATGTTTCCGCCCATATCTGTCTGAAGCCAGCCTGGATGCAAAGAAATACAGAGAATTCCATCCGATTTCAAGTCTGCAGCGAGACACCTGGTGATCATGTTCAGTGCAGTCTGCAAGAGTGGAAACCACTTATTAGTGTGCTGGTTTTACAAGCCTTGAGCAAGACCTTAAGCCAAGCTAATTGCCACCTCCCTTCCACTATGCTGTCTCCTGACAAATGAAGGGGCAGTAACAGTATCACAGTAACTTATCCAGACATTCTTCATTCTCAGATACCTGTTAAGCATTGTGAAAGCTCTATCACCATAAGCTCACTGCCCAAAGATGAAACTGAGTTATAATGGAAGAAAAAGTAGCATTTGAAACTCCTAAGGCGCTGTGGGGAAAATAATATTGACATAAGGACTCTGTTTTTCTGCAATAATCACTACACAAGCATTCATTTTTTTACTTCTGAACAGGGAAAACAAGCATATTAACAGCTTATGAGTAGGTGGTGTAGGAGAAACTGTCTGTCTAGTCTTGACTATTCGTACAAACTCAGTCTCTGGATGTGACAAAACTAAAAGCTCCACCTCTCACTAACTAGCATTACCATGTGCAGGTCAGCATACATTTTGTTGAGTTCCATGCCTGCTATCTTGCTTGGACTGGAGAGGAAGACAGCTAATAGGACACACACTTGATGGCATCAGTTCTTCCCTGAATGCCAAGTCCCTCTGAGATGGATCTGTATCAGAGTAGTGATGGAGCATTTGTGAGCCTGTTCTTAAGAAGCTGGCATGCTTGCTCCAGATGTACAGTTTTCACAGGTTCCATTTCCACCCACACGAAGAACAAGAACAGTCCCTGTGTCAGCCTATCCAAGGAAGTGCTGCACACCTCAGATCACCGTCTTAAGCTCAGAGTGGTCTTTAACTCACAGGCCTGCCCTCCCCCAGTGAGCACAGCCAGGGAAGCCTACAAACCTTTGCTATCCTGTAGGGGTAGACCTTGAGGAACATCTCATTTGCCTGGACGAGTTGCATGGAGGCAGCAAGAGAGGACATATTGATAATAGCAGCTCTATGGCAGCCCATTCCTGTGCTCAGCTGGGCTGCCTTCCTCAGAAGGGGTAGAAACGCCTGTGAAAACAAGAGTTTGTTTTCATTTGGTCAGCTTGCTCTTGGCCCGTTCAAGGCAAGCCAGACTCTCAGGTTCTGCTCTATGAAGAATTGCAGTACAACTCTGTGCCACCAGCACAGAATGGTGATGGCTCCCCAGACAAGCTGACCATAGGAAACCTTCCGATAACAGCCAGATGTAAGCAGCAAGGACCTTAACTTGTGCCACCTTCAGTCTCTTCTGCCCACCTCCTAGCCCAACCTGTCCACTGAAGTGACCTCATACCAGCTGGATTTAAGTAAAGAGAAAGGCCCTTGATAGAAAGGATCTCTTGCTGCTCTCTCGGCACGCAGTTTGATATCAGACCTGGATCTGTGCAGTTCCAAGGTGACAAATGCTTGGGTTACATGTCCAGCTCACTAGTGGAAAAGCTTCTTATAGTACCATAGATGAAGCACATTCCTCCCAATTCTTACCTTGGTGACCATCAGCTGGGCAACTGTATTGGTTTCATAAATGGTGAGCATTGTCTCTGCTGTGACTTCTTCCAAGGAAGCAAGCACATTGATGCCAGCATTGTTAATGAGGCAGTTCAGACCTTTGTCTCCCACAATTTCTTCCACTTCCTTGACTACTTTCTTGATGCTGTTTTCACAGACCACATCTGCACAGAGGAGCCAAGAATAGCCACAGTGAACAGTGAACTGTGTGGTTCAAATGCCATCTGTCCCTATACAACACATGCTAAGCCAAAGCTAAGGCATTAGCCTGAATGGGGACATTTAGGCAGCACACAGAGAGGACAACGCACGGAAGTCTTGACATAGATTATGTTTCCCCGGTGTTATCTTAAGATGAGGGTGACCGTTTTCAGCTGCTGGAGGTCATGTACAGCTACTGATCACCCGGGAGACCAGTTTCTTAAGATGCACTCACCTGACTTAGTTGAACATACTTCTGTATAAGCCCTTTACTCACCCAGCTGGAGGAGCTTGATATTGCTGTATTGCTTGCTAAGCTGCTGGAGTTCCTAGGAAGCAAAAATTATTTGTGTTACCTTTTTTTTTTATATATATATATCTCTATCTCCATGGCTATTACATAAAACAGTTTGAGATCTGTACTTCCAGACTTGTAATGGGCATTTATTTTCAGAATTGGATCAGAGGCAGTGATACTACTTTGTTTTCCAGCCTGCTGAGCCGCTTTCCTGAGAGCAAGATCAACTGCTCCAAGAAACTGGACTCTTCACCTGCTGAGTCAAGATACCAGAACGCTGGATTACAGAGTTAGTTCTCAGTGTGTACAACTCGAGGGTGTGTTTGCCGTGTAACCAAAGGTCTTTGATCAAGCAGCTACCGTTGCCAGTTCCACAGCAGAGTCAGTGCTCAGACTGCATTCCAAGCCAGTAATTCCCCACTTCTGTAAGAAGAGCGTAATTCTCCTGAAGCTCAGCTAGTGCTACACATCAGCTCAGGGCAACAGGAATGCTTAAGAAAAGCCATTTAGAATTACTGTTTGCAGGAAACGTTTCCTAGCAATTTTTCCACAGAAATTCTGTTTCCCGGCACTCTCATTAGCTTCAATTCTTGTAACTGAAAGTAAAGCACACGTGAAATTGTTTAACATACACAGCAACTGTCCACGAGAGTAATTCTCTCTCTGCTAGATAGCTATAAGTCAGTCATCTGTCTACTACCTCTCAGTAGAATGACTTGGAGAAAATTGGTATTATACTGGTGTTCCTGCTGGAGAAAGTGTGTCCAAATTGGATTTATATGCCAAGCTGGAATACTTAGATTTCTGTGCCATGTAGCCAAAGTGGGAAGTGTGGCCAAATGTAACAGATGGATTACATACTCCCAGCCATGTTTAGGAGACTGAGCAACCCTGGACAAACATTCCAGCTCAAGCAAATCCATTTCTTTAGGAGCCCTTTGGGAATAGGGGTCAAGAGAGCTGATTTTGAAAGAGTACTTCTTTGCCACTTGGAGACACTTAGGGACTCCATGTCCTCTGTCAAGCTAGATGCATTACATCTTTTATCTCAGTTCATACTCTGCAGGGTTCTCTCCAGGCTTGTTTAGAAAACGTCTTCTCCCATTGAGGAGAATCTACAACTGCAGTGAAGGCTCTTAAGGGGAGGGGGAAGGAAGGGGAACGTGTCAGAAGCACAAAACCAGAAGACATTCCTTCCCTTGGATAGGGCTTAACGGGGCACTTTTCAACAGATTAAAGGCCCAGAACACACTATCTTGTCTATTGATAGTCAGGCATGAAACACTTCTGCCATGTCAAGGCCTGCAATAATTACATGGCTTTGGGCTGTCCACTGAACCTTAGTTTGACAGTATCACTCACTTGATAATAAACTCCAGAAGTGCTCTGGCTTCTTGAGGTTTGTTCATTTATTTACAGTCAGATGGCTTTACTCTCTGACAGGAACAAGCTACTAACTTTTGCTAAAAGGCCAGAGATGTTTTGTGTAGTGATGGCAACTTCTGAAGTAAGCAATATGTTCAATTGAGAACTCCAAACACTGTAGCATTAAGCATTCTCCAGAACATAAACGGCACGAAATTACAATTGCTGCATGCAAATCAGGATTCAAATCCAATGGTTTTTCCATTTAGTTAATTAGTTAACAAGTGACTCCCACTTCAGTGGTTTAAGTTTCTCAGAAGCAGCTTCCAGGCATAAAGCTTAGACAGCTGTGGTCTTCAAGAATGCTACTCCACCTGACATAAACATAAGCTGAAAAATCCAGTTAGGAAACATAGAAGTTGCAGAAAAGCCTATTCTTTTCCCTGCTGTGACTAGAAGGAACATGCGGAAAGGCGGACCGAGACAAGTTCATGGCAGTGCGATCAGATGCAGCCATTTCAAGCCACCAGCCATGTGTGCTGCTTCTCCTCTTCCCCCACCCCAAACAGTTTTGATCAAAGAGATCAAAAGCCTCCTGTGTCCAGAGAACCCCGAAAATATTACTGTAATGCATGCATATACTAGTTATTGACTCTGCACTGAAGGGATAAGCTTTCCTGAAACTCACCGTGGTCATCTGTCAAATGCCTTGTTCTCCCCCCATTAAAACCAAACCAAACCCAACCCACCCCACCAAAACAAACAAAACAAAGCCCCATAACAAAGAAAAACCAAACCTACACCGCTAAAGTTGTCTGCAAGGGTTTTTTTTTTCAGCAGGCTTGCGCTCACTTTTTTTACGCCACCGTGCTAGTGCAGGGGCACTGCACCCAGGACAACGGGTTAAATCCCTGGGAAGACGAGGTCTCGGAGCACAGCCTACCAGAGCCAGTGCAGCCCACGATGGCAATGCATACCTAAGAATAAGTGAGCTCACTGGTACTGCTCGTTGACGAGCAGCTCGTATTTTCATGTCAGTTTATGCAGTTGCATTTAAAGACAGTAGGTACAGCCAACATAAGCCAGGCTAAGTCATTTTGAGTTAGTGTACTGTGATAGCCGATTTAAAACCAAACAAGACAAACAAACAAAACCAACAAACCCCACAACACAACCCCCTAATACTGTGTTTAGCATAGTAGCTCTAGAAGTGCTCCGCACCTGAATAGTTACCCCTGAGAATCAACTCCTAGGGATTCCAAGAAAAATTTAAACTCCGATTAGCATCTGTTGTTTCCTACTTGCTGATTTTAATTACGATTAACAAAGAGTCATCCTACTCCAATTTAAACAAGATCCTCTGGAACTCAAGGCTCCAGATACAGATTCATCAGTACGCAGGATATTTATTGCTAGATTTCAACCAGGAATGTTATGTCGTCTTTGTCATTTAGCAAGATTTACTTTGCCTTCTTTATGAAAGCATTATTCACTTCCGTCACAACTCTTGGAAAGGACCTGGCCACATTAGGCCAGTCGGAAGCAATCAAGCCAAACTAGCACAGCTTGTAGCAGCTTTGTCAGGCAAAGGGTACATGGGCATCCTTTCACATCATCCTGCCTGCACTCAGGACAAAGTCAAAGATGCATTTGCCCGTGTCTCTGAGACAGGTATTCAGTATCACAGCGTACAGCCAGCTTACTGTGTGATCAGTTAATAGCTTACAACAAGCTGCTGCAGACTGCCCCAAATCCACAGTCCTCTCTGACTCAAGAAGAGCCAGACCTTAATGCTGTTGGAAATGCAAAACACTCCCAGGAAAAAGAAAAAAAAAAAAACACACAACACTGCCATAACCCAAAATTAGGAAGACTTCAAGAATGCCCCCTCTGCCTGATACAACACATCTATCTTGCTGGAGCACTGCTCTGGAGATCGTTCAGCTGCTCTTCCCAATAGCAGACCACATGGCTAAAATATGTAGCAAAGAAACAACAAAAACAAAACCTGACAGAGACAGTGTGCAGAAGCACTTCAGCGAGAGCTCTGTGTCTGACAAGGGAACAGACATGGACTGTTAGTAACACTATCTCCTACTTCAGAGGAAGGGAAACAGCGCATTAAGCCCTGGAAGCTTTCCAGAGCCCGGTAGAGGACTCCTGAGCAGCGAGGAAGTGAATGCTTTCTTGTTCACCTGGGAACGCCCGTGGGCTTGTGGGGAGAGCGGGAGGAACAAGAGATGCTCCTGTCCGGCGGTCCCACGCTCAGCTCTCGGCGCAGCCCGGCAGAGCCAGGCTGAGCACCGGCAGCACCGCGAACGGGTCCACGCCATGGCCACCAAGATCCCTTCAGCTGCCGCGCTTCCCCGGAAAGCCGTCTCCTCCTTCCACACTTCAGCAAGTCAGAGGGGGGACTACAGGGGCTACACCATCATTAGGTGCAGTCGTAGACTTCAGGTCAGAGTTTTTTCCCCTTTATGGGGAAGCAGGGTGGGGGAAGAAAAAGCAAGAACGAGAAGCAGGAGGAGGGGAGAATTACAGATGTGTCCGTGCGCCCGTGCAGGCTGCATAATAACTGCACTGTGGTTTCGTCCATCTGGAGTGCAAAGACAGGACATCAGGATTATTTTGCAAGAGATTCGTAGCTGCTTCCGCTCTCAGGGCTGGAGCAGCCCAAGTAAAGACGGATCAGAATCCAAGTGTGGCTGAAGGAGCCTAGTATGGTACTTTTCAAGGAGGGGCGGCGGTTATCTAGATGCGCCTGCAGGCCTGCTGCATGTTATCCTGTGATCTAAAGCCCATTTGTTAAGCAAATGTTCTGTGGAGGCCACCTAGGAGCTATTCAGCACAAGAATTCGAGTTATTACAACTTCTGCCAGCACAGACTCACATGCAAAAGCTTGCAGATGTTCAGCATTGTCCCAGGGTTAGCAAGTTACAGCAGACGTGCTGCTTTCTGTAGTTAAGCAGAGGAAAGCAAAGTCAGACTCTTCTCCGGCATCTCTTTTTAGTCAGGTCCTTTCGAGCCTTTTGTCTGTCCACCGTTTGGAGGACTCCAAAGTACGCAGCCATCTGTGTAACAGCATACGCTCTGCCGACAGATTGTCTGGGTAATTCTCAGCTACCGGGGAATCGCTGCTGACTATTGTCCCCAAGACGCGCGCTGGATTTGCCAGTAGCTAAGCATATTTAAATCACTTTTCCTCTAAAAACTGGAAGATGATTTTTAAAAGGCTTTTCATTTAAGCTCTTCCCACCCTTTTTCCCCGCCCTGCATTCTGCAACAGGAAAATGCTACTCTACCAAACCAGATGAGAGCAGAATTTAAGAGAACCGTCCAAAGTTGCTGTTCTCCAAGTTCATCCTCTAATCCAGGAGAGAAGCGGGGCGCAGTGCACTCATAGTAAGCAGGATCTTTCATATGATCTCTTACCACAAAGCAAAGTGGGAGGAAACAAAACTAGACTGCTTGAATCACTGTCAAAAGACAAAGCAAGCACTGACAGCTCAGGTGTGCAGAGAAAGAACAAGTCGCTCGACTTTACAGCCCGGTCCGCGTGGTCAACAAACAGGTCTTAGATGGGCAAAGCCCATTTCGTGTGCACTAAGACAAGTCTGCAGCGCCAGCCTCCGAGTGCAGGAACCTGAACTCTGGATTTTCAAGAT